ATTACAAGAAGATTGCTAATGACAATTTATTCGTCAAACTATACATGCCATTTGTTGGTAAATGAAGTGTTTTTAAATGATATCTTGACAGTAGGTGTTACATGTGCTGGAATTAATGCAAACTTAACCATCTGGCTCTTATTTCACTGTGTGCAGTTTCAGACAATGTGACATCACTATCAGGCACTCACAAGGAGCCCTCCGATTGTGCCCTTGTAACACTATTCTGTTACACAATATGCAAAAGGAGGAGCAGCCTCTCCTACCGCTTCATATAGAGAGGAGCAAGAAAACTTAATAATTGATAGCATCAGGCATGATCGCCTACCTGGAAACTGGAGACAACCTAGAAGATACTGCTACAATCAGCTATGATGGGTCTGTTTTGCCCTCACTAGAAGGAACAGGCACTTGGCCAAAATGATTCTCAGTGGAGGAATTAAATGATTTTCCTTCAGGAATCTAAAAAGCAAGAGTTATTTGCTTCCCTCACCATCTCTAATCAAATATCTAACATTATTACCTTGTCAGTAAGTTATGCAATATTTTTACATTAAAACAATTATAAAGGGCCAAATCCTCATGCCAGCTTGATTAAACTGGGCAAGTGCTAGGTACAGTAGTGTGGAGAGGTAGAGCAGGAGAAATCCTCCTGCTAGACCATGGAGCTGCACTGCTGAGGATCTGCTTCCTTCCTGTTCCTCAGTCACAGACTAGAAAAAAAGAGAATTTTTTGATCTGAGGAAATGGGTCTGGCCCACGAAAGCTCATCATCTAATAAACCATCTTGTTAGTCTTTAAAGTGCTACATTGTCCTGCATTTTGCTTCAGCTACCCCAGACTAACACGGCTACATCTCTATCACTATTGCCCATTCCCTGTGGCTTCCTTCCTGTTCCTCAGTCACAGACTGGAAAAAAAGAGAATGCCCATTCCCTGTGCTTCTTCCCCAAACATTGCCCCTATGCTCTTGCCCCAAAGAACTGTACCCATTCTGCCACCAAAGGATCTTTCCCAGCTATGGAGACTGAGGCAGGATTTGTTCCAAGTGAATAACATTATAAACTAGTCATCCTAATTTTGATACCTGAAATGATACTAAAACACATTATTAAATAATAAATTGTAAGCACCTAGAGTCTAGAAGGGATAAGCCAGCATGGATTTATCAAGAACAAATTATACCAAAGCAACCTAATATCCTCCTTTGACAAGGTTGCTTGCCTTGTGTATGAGGGAAAGCAGTAGATGTGATATATTTGATTTTAGTAAGGCTTTTAACAGTTCCACATAACATTTTCATAAGCTAAGTAGGAAAATATGATCTCAATGAATTTACTATGAGTCAATGCTGTAGGAAGGTGCTGGATTACCAAAGCTCATGACAGAGAAATCTTCTCTTTATCCACAGAATAGCACACAGTAGCATGGGAAGTGTCAAGTTATGCTTTCTCATCATGTATCATAAAGTAGCTCATCCTTCACCTCATGTTGGATCCTGTAAGGAGCTGAGTACTCTGGCCTCAATCCAGCAAAACACTTAGGCACATACTGGAAAAAGGGCAAATCTATAAAAGGGGAATAAGGACAACCCAGGAAATTACAGAACAGTCAGTTTAACATCTGTACCAGGAAAGATAATGGAGCAAGTATTTTAAGAATTAATCTACAAACACCTGGAAGATAATAAGGTGATAGGTAACAGCCAGCATGTATTTGTAAAGAACAAATCATGTCAAATCAATTTGATAGCTTTCTTTGATAGGATAACGAGTCTTGTGGATAAGGGAGAAGCAGCGGACATGGTATTCCTAGACTTTAGTAAGGCAATTAACATGGCCTCGCATGACCTTCTTCTCAATAAACTGAATACACCCTAGATGGGGCTACTATAAGGTGGGTGCATAACTGGCTGGATAACCATTCTCAGCGATCAAGTATCAGAGGGGTAGTCGTATTAGTCTGAATCTGCAAAAGTGACGAGGAGTCCTGTGGCACCTTATAGACTAATAGATTTATTGGAGCATAAGCTTTCATGGGCAAAGACCCACTTCGTCAGATGCATATCGTGGAAATTCCAGAAAGTAGTTATTAATGGTTCACAATCCTGCTGGAAAAGCATGACAAGTGCGGTTCTGCTGGGGTCTGTTTTAGGACCAGTTCCATTCAATAACTTTATCAACGATTTAGATATTGGCATAGAGAGTACGCTTCTTAAGTTTGCAGATGATACAAAGCTGGGAGGGGTTGCAAGTGCTTTGGAGGATAGGGTCATAATTCAAAATGATCTGGGCAAACTGGAGAAATGGTCTGAGGTAAATAGGATGAAGTTTAATAAGGACAAATGCAGAGTACTCCACTTAGGAAGGAACAATCAGTTATACACACACAGAATGGGAAGTGACTGTCTAGGAAGGAGTACTGCAGAAAGAGATCTAGGGGTCATAGTGGACCACAAGATAAATTTGAGTTAATAGTGTGACGGTGTTGTAAAAAAAGCAAACATGATTCTGGGATGCATTAACAGGAGTGTTGTGAGCAAGACTCGAGAAGTCATTCTTCCGGTCTACTCTGTGCTGATTAGGTTTCAGCTGGAGTATTGTGTTCAGTTCTGGGCTTGACATTTTAAGAAAGATGTGGAGAAATTGGAGAAGTCCAGAGAAGAGCAATAAGAATGATTAAAGATCTAGGGAACATGTCCTATGAAGGAAGACTGAAAGAATTGGGCTTATTTAGTTTGGAAAGGAGAAGACTGAGAGGGGACATGGTAGCAGTTTTCTGGTATCCCAAAGAGGAGGGAGAAAAATTGTTCTCCTTGGCCTCTGAGGATAGGACAAGAAGCAATGAGCTTAAACTGCAGCAAGGGAGGTTTAGGTTGGACATCAGGAAAAACTTCCTAACTGTCAGGGTGGTTATGCACTGGAATAAGTTGTGTAGGAAGGTTGTGGAATCTCCATCTCTGGAGATATTTAAGAGCAGGTTTGTCAAGGCTAATTCCCCCACTCTGGCACAATAAATCTGCAAATGGGTATCCACAAAAGCAACCCCAAAACCTGATCTCTACAGCCTTTGGTACAAAAACTCCACCCAAAATACTAATACCCGGATTTTGGGGAATCCACTGCCACAATCAAGTGCTTTTGAACCCACAAACAAAGGTGGATGCTTGAAACCAACCCCAGGGCAGCCCCAGCTCTTTTCTCCAAAGAGCTTGAAAAGAAAAGAGAAAATACAAGTTGCAGTCTGTGATTGCTGTCCCCTCATCAGAGGCATGCAGATCCCACAGACAGATTTTCCAAGACATAGAAATGAACCAATATCAGGTTAATAAAAAAAGGAAATAACTTTTATTATCCAAAACAATATTACTGTTGCAAGCATAATGACTAGATGGAAAAAGTCACCAATTAATATACTCATGGGGGACTCCCATGGGCGCAGGAGTTAGTTACAAAAGAAAGGAAAACCCATTTCTAACAGCACAGACATCAGATCCAAATTCCCAAAACAGAAAACAATAAAACCTGACGGATTTTTCTAGACTTTACCCTACTTACACATTATAAAGAGCCTTTTTCTTGGAGAGAGACATGTATTCTGTCTCCCTCTGTATCTAGAGAGCAAACTGGCTCAAGAGGCAAAGGAGGGAAAAACCCAAAAATTCCTTTACCTCAGTTTGAAATCTGTATCTGCATTTCTATTGGCTGAGCAGATACCTGGCTAGGTACAGGGACACAGTGAACCCCTTAGTCTGCAGGCTGCTGGCTATCCTTCATGGTCATGACAAAGTTAGATAGACATCTATCAGGGATCGTCTAGACCAATGGTTCTCAGACTTTTTGGGCTCCAGAGCTCTTTACATGCATAAAAATGTATGTGGAGCCCCAGCAATCAGTCCACTGATTGTATGTGTTGTACCTATCGATGTTTCCATGTCAACCTTGCGGAGCCCTTGGAGATGTCTCGCGGAGCCCTGGGGTTCCACGGAGCACAGTTTGAGAAATACTGGTCTAGACGGTACTGGGTGCTGCTCTGAGGGCAGGGGACTGGACTCAATGACCTCTAAAGATCCCTTCCAGTTCTAGTGTTCTATGATTCTATACTAAGAAAGTGCATTAAAATTGGATCAAGGCCAGAGTTGTCTGAACCTAACAGGACTGAATCCTTTGGGATCTTGCTAATCTAAGTGTGCCTTTTCCATGACCCATTCAGTTGCTGGCCACTACTGAGACATGACAGACATCCACCAGGGCACCAACTACAAACAATAATGATGAGGGGCTTTAGAGTTATGGTCAAAAGTGCCAGTCCTCAGATCTCCTTCCCCCAGCTATTCATATGGATGTTTGGAAACAGTGACTAAAAAACAAACAGGCATGATTGAACCAGACAGCCCGCAGAATCACCATTAGCTCTGACTGCTGCGCTTGGTGGTAGTCAGCAGCTCTGCTTTTGAAATTTAGTAAATTATTTCCAGCTATGCAATGGCTTGTCTCTCAAAATACTAATGGGAAAGTGGATTAATTTGTAAGCTGTTGGGGCAGGAACCACCTTTTTGTTCTGTGTATGTAAAGTGCCTACCACAATCGGGTCTCTGGTCCATGACTTTTGCTTTTAAGTGCTTCTGCATTATAAATAATTATGAATAATAGTAGTTTTCTATTTAGATTGCTGAATATATTTTGCAGTAACATTTTAAAAGTTAAAGGACATATTCCCTCAGATCCAGTTACTGCATGTTTTGGGTATGGAGCTCTTCTTATTGGCCTTGGTCCCCTTCGTAGTCAGGTCATCTCAAAACTCTGGAGTTTGCCTGAGCAATGCCACACATAGCATGTATAGCAGAAATTGTATGTTTTCTGATGTTTCAATCCATGAATAAATAAATAAAACCCTTCTGACAGCCATGCCCTCAGTTTTAGCACTCAGTTCGCATTTTAGTTATTTTACATGTCCTAATGCCTCATTGTGAACCAAAACCCAACTATGTATAAGCTTACCTTCTTTCCCGGAAGGTTGAAGCCATTGTTTTTAAGTTGATATCTGTATCACTCTAGTACAGTAATGTGTTTTCTTTTTTTAACAGGATTGTACCTTCTTCACTCGCAAAGAAATCCTCCGGTAAGCAGATCATACTCCATTCTTCCTTCATAATTTGTATCGAAATGGCCAAATTCTGCTTTCCTCACTCATGTGACGAAACCCAGTAAAGCCAATGGGACTACTCATGTGAGTAAGTGAGTACAGGATTCGGTCCTAAAATGTACCTATAATACACAAATTATGCACTCAATAATATTCTGCAAGCTAGGGAATAACTATTCTTATTGTAATATTGTTCACTGGCAAGAGCGGAGATAGGAACAAACCTTCTAGTACCCTGGCAGAGAAACTTAGGGCAGTCATTCTTTTCAAGTGCCTGCCAACTTGCACTGTCATCTAAAAGAACTTTGTGTATTTGCTAAACCTGCTCAGTTAAAACACAAAGGGCTCCATCTTTTCTCGTTAATGACAGTTTTGCTATAGACTTCAGCATGAGCAGGATAGGTGGGTTCTAAATTGCAATAACTTTAAGATGTGTTGTCTTATTGACGTCTTTTAATTTTCATGAAGATACTAGGACAGTTGTGGGCAACCTGCAGTCTGTACTGAGGTTCTATATGTGGCTTCCAAGGCATTTTGTTTACCATTGCCCATGTGGAGGTTTGCTAGATTCTGCTGGTCTCCATCCATGTAGTTTTTTTCCTACGTAAAGCAAGGGCATGTGAAGTGAGGTGCATGCTGATTACACACAACATTGCTTATGAGAGTTGTGCGCTCCCTCTGCAACCAATCAAAATGCTGCTACAGTTTAGTTGTCACACCCTGCAAATTCTAGATATGCAAGTGCAGTTAACAGAACTATCCTATACCAGGAGACTGTCTTTGTTACGACAATCTGGCGGTCCACTAGGATGATGGAGGGCCACTCATGTGGCCCACTCACTAGCCTACGTTTCCTATCATGTTACGACAATCTGGCGGTCCACTGGGATGATGGAGGGCCACTCATGTGGCCCACTCACTAGCCTATGTTTCCTATCACTCTACTACAGGGGTGAGCAATAATTTTTGTTGGGGGCCACTCCAAGATTTTGGTAAGTGGTCAAGGGCCGCATATGCCTGTGAAGGGGGTTCTGGGTCTAGGTTGAAGGTTGGTTGCCAAAGGGCACACGGGGTAAAGGACTGGGGTGCAGGAGATGGTGTGGGGTCTGAGAGGGAGTTTGGGTGGAAGAGGGGGTTGTGACCTGGGTGAGGAGATTGGGGCATAGGGTCAGGGAGGGGGTGTGCCTGCAGGAGAGGATTCTGGCTTGGGGGGGGGGGGGAAAAGGGGGTGCAGAATCTGGGAGGGAGTTGTCACCTGGGGCAGGGGGTGCAGAGGATTTGGATGGTGACCTGGAGGAGGGAGTTGGGGTGCAGGAGGGGTTGGGGTGCCAGCGGCAGGTGCTGGCTGGGAGGAGTTTACCTAAGTGTCTCCTGCCCAGAAGCTCCAGTCCCCAGGCTGCTCCGTCCACGTGGCTCTCAACTCTGGCTGCCCCGTCTCTCAGGCCAATCTCTCAGCTCCTATTGGCTGGCTGTTTCAAGCCAATAAGAGCTGAGAGATTGGCTGAGGTCATTTCTAATTGACTGGTTGTTTCTGGCCAACAGGAGCTGAGGATTGGGCTGCAGGTGGGGAGATCACATGAAGCCTCCCCCTGCCTGCAGACCAGAGAGTTGCAGGGTCTGTGTTAAATGCGGCAGCTGCGTGTGCCTGAGGGTCCCTGCAGGGGAGTCCGAGGGCTGGATCCTGTGCCTTGGCGGGCCGGATCTGGCCCCCGGGCCGTATTTTGCCCAACCCTGCTCTACTAGGACCTAATCCTATCCTTCTAAAAGAGGCAAAAATCTCATTGACTTTGGTGGCGATGTTTTGCCTGCTTCAGTGGTGCAGGATTGAGCCATACTCTGAACATCAGTGAGAAATGGCAAGTAATAATCTGGCCCTCGGAGGCCCTTTTGCCTACCCTCATCTAGTACCACTAGTCAGTACTGGTCTCCTGTTTCCAGAAGCAGCGGTACACAGTGTGCGGGGGGATGAGGGGTGGGAGGGACTGCGGTGCATGAGGCGCACTCAGGCCTGGGTGAGGGAGTCCCCATTCCAGGCTGGTTGTTTCTCAAGCAGTGCCATGAGAGCAGCCTGCATAAACTGCACCAGGTGGTGCAGCATAAGGTCTAAGAGCCGTTGATTGCTTTGCAGTAGGTCTGGCTCTATGGTAGCAGAGCTGTGGCATCTACAAGGGCAACCAGTGCACATGGTGTGGTGTTTGCTATCCCTCGGGGAGGTAGGCAAAGGTGAAGAGGAGTCTGAGATGTGGCTGTAGAGGGAAGCACCTTTAAGCACAAGCCTCAGGTAGCCTTGGGAAACAGCTACAGGAAGTAACTGCTGTCTTGAGGCCCTGCCTGGAGTGCTTCCCAGGGGCTTTAAATGCAATTCAGACACCCATGAGCAAGGATGTACTATTTCTATATAGATCTGCACTATTTTGATGGGGATTTGCAGTGTGGACATGGTATTTCAAAATAGTTATTTTGGGAGCTATTTCAAAATAACTTATTTCGAAATAACATTGTAGTGTTGACATGCTCACAGAGAGCAGACAATAGCAATACAACCTTCTGCATGCTGTCCTGTCAATGTGCTTGATCTCTGATCTAGAAGGGAACATAGAGACTATAGCTCTGATTCTCAAAGGAATTTAGGCACCTGACTCCTGTTGAAATCAATGGAGTTACATACCTAAATATCTTTGAGGATCAGGAATTATACACATTCAATCATTCACCTGTTCACTGAGACGGATGGAAGGAATGCAAGCATAACGGTGTTTTGTATGATCTGGAGCATGTGCATTATGACAGAGAACTGGACTGAGACCATCAATTTATTTCACATAAACTGCAGGCCAATCTCTACAATTGGTAAGGACAGTTGGTCACTACTGACTTGGGCCAGATATGAATGGGTGTTCCAAGGAGATAGCTTAGAACCGTGGTCACTAACCTGTCGATCGTGATCAACTGGTCGATCACGAGGCCTCGACCAGTCGATCACAAGGCGTTCCGGGCCCCCCATATTCCTCCATCCCCAAGAAGTCCCACTACCTACCTCCAGCGACAATGGAGGTAGTGGCGGCTTCCCACTGGGTGGACGGAGAGGTTCCGGAAATGTATTGGCTGCTTCCTTGCCCCAGATCTGTGGCGTGCCGGGAGCTTGCCCCAGAGGCATGCGTTGGGACTTCCCTTCTCTGCAGGGGGGAAGAAGGAGGGAAGCAGGAGGAGTGGACCCCTGAGGGGGCATGTGCGCAGGCTTCCCTGCTCTGTGGGAGGAGGAAGTCGGTCCCGGAGAGGGCGTCCGCGGGGGCTTTCCTGCTCCGCGGGAGGCTCACACCAGCGCCCGATTGCAGCTTAAGGTGCGCAGCGTGCTGGGGGGCGGGGCCACACATGTGCCGTGCACCCGGGGGCAGAGCCAGCCCTGGTTGGAGACTTAGAAGGAACATTGGTCAGAGAACCTGTGTGGCAGGACAGCTTCAATCAGGTCCTCCAAGTCAGAGACTCAGGGCTCCGTGCATGGAGCTGACTGACTAATTAATCACCTGTGAAGCTGTGTGGCTGCTCAGCTTAGAGGGATCACTGTCTTTGACCCATTATCACTTCCGTGATCCATCCAATTGCTCAGCTGTGTTGTTTTAACAAAAAAAATCAGACTGTGCTGTTGTAATGTCAGGTTCAAATCTCTTTGTTATGGAAGCATAAATACTTTTTGTAAGTAACCTTTGCTTCATATAAGGTCCCTGCAAAACTTTTCTCATGCTTAACATTAAACTAGGCAAACAGTGCCTCTGATGCCAGTGGAACTGCTCAGGATTAAAGTTTAAACATGCGCTTAAGTGTTTGCAGGATCAGAATTTATCAGGGAATAGCACTACACAGGTTTGTTATAACAAAGTCAGATTTTTAATAGTAGTCTCATCAGCTCAGACACAATAGGAATTTATTTCAATGCTCACAGCATTACAGGAACAGAAGAGATGCTAAAGTTACATGAATATAAAGTTACATGCTTTGGGTTAGAGAGGCACAGTAACAGTTTCCTGTCACCAGCAGTGGATATAGGGCAGGGCGAGTGGGGCAGCTGCCCCAGGCCCCGCGCTTCAATAGGCCCCGCGCCAGCGCCAGGGGCGGACTGGCCTGGCGGGATACCGGGAATTTACCGGTGGGCTACCTTAGGGCTGGCCCACAGCTGCTGGAGGAGGAAGGGGGGGGGATTGTGGCCACAGCCCCGGACTTTTGAAATTCCCCAGTGCCGGCCAGTACAGGCCACGTGGGGCTGAGGGAGTGCATGCGCGGTGTGCTGAAACGCCGCGCAACAACTGAGAGGGGAGACACCCAGGTGTGGCGTGACGTGACACCACAGCCCGGGACTTTAAAACCACGCGGCCCAGCGTTGCACCGCATGGTTCGGCACGTAGCCTGGGCCGGAATCGGGACTTTAAAACCGCGCGGCCCAGCATTGCATCGCATGATTCGGCACATGGCCTGGAGCCTGGGCCGGGCCACGGACGCCCTGCACACTGGAAGGCACAAGGTGGATGGCCGAGGAAGGGGCTTGTGCTGAGGGGCGGGGGCGGAGGGCAGGTCAGGAGAAGAAAGAGGAGGAGAGACAAATGCCAGGGGGCCAAGTGGAGACAATGAGGAAAAGGGCAGGAGGGGAGATGTTAGTGGGAGGGGGAACAGGGTGATGCTGGGAGAGGAGAGGGTAAGGGCGTTGGGGGCTAAAGGGGTAGGGGGAGGTGCTGGGAGAAGGCTTGAACGAAGGGGTGGGTGTGAGGAAGGCGGGGATGGAGCAAGGCATGTGTGAGGGCACAGGGGCATGAGGGGAATGGGAGCAGAGGGTGGTGAGGGGGTGAGCATCAGGGAAAAAGAGGACAAAGGGCGCAGAGGCAGTGAGAGACACCAGGAGGGTGCAGGGGTAAGGGAAGGTGCAGGTGCCAGGGGATTCTGGAATCTAAAATAGATCTTTAAAATCCCTTACAATTTTCATCACA